GAAGCAAACAGTAAACTTCCAAGTGCAATTAAACACTAAAGAGCTTAATAAATGTATTTGCTTCATCTCCCAAATCTACCTGTGCCCATCAAATCATGAAACATACCTATTGTTGTAACGAGGTGTGCCCCAGCAAAAGAAGTAGTGTTAAAACCAACCTGTGGGCCAAAAAATAAACGAAAAACCCCAAAACCATGTCATAATGAAGACTTTCTTGGGGTTCCAACTATTCGATGATGAAGTGAGCTGTCATTATGAGATGACAAATACACACACATCCAGCACACTTCTAGTTGTAAGATGGCATTTTAAGAACATATGAGCATTTCTGCTTTTCAAATTATAGAGCAGCAACGAAGCAATATAAAAATAAAAAATAAAAAATATGCTGCGGCACCAGAAAATATCAAACAGGCCAGGATCTGTTAAAGGTACAAAGCAGAAAAAGACTGAACTGAGAGAAAAGTCAAGCAATACTGATCATCTTGTGATTCTATTCAGGCAAAGGAAAGGCTGGCCTAGGAAGTAAAGGGCTGGGTTTCCCCAGTACAGCCCCAGAAGCTGCCAAGTTCAGAGCCACAGGGGCTGAAAACAGGCCTCGGGATGGCCAATGGGGAGAGGAAAATGAAAGAATGTGGGTCCCTTCCCGGAACCACAGTCTGGCTGGCTGTTCACTTACAACTTCACATGGTTCCAATGAAGCCCAGGTATTTCCACGCTTTCTAACACAAGCAGAAGAATCTGCAAGCTCAGAATCCTCACACATTTTTAACCGTAGCCGACTTGAGTTGGCAAAAAACAAACAAAACAAAATAATTGGAACTCATTCTCCCAAATTTTCCAAATAATTCAAAAGACTCTAAAGTTCATCTTAAAAAATAAAACATGTGCCAACAGCTAGAAAAGCTCTGGAAACAAAGTATATTGGCAGGTGGAGACGGAGATGGGGACCTGTACAACCGGATGTTGAAACGTTCTATGAAGTTACAGTCATTCAAATCGTTTATGAGGGGCACCAGATTAGAAAGACCCATGAACCAAGGGTTCAGGAGCTGCCCAGGAATACACAAGTCTAATGCATGATTCAGTCTGATGCACAAACGATGGTAAAGATGATTGATTACTCATAAGTGGTTCTGGAACAACTCACTACCTGAAAAAAGTATGGTCCTCCCATGTCACATCAGAACAAATGCTAGATTTAAATATAAAAGATACAAGTCAACTTCCTTTGCAGATACGGAGTTTTTACAAAAAAAAAAAAAAGAGAGAGAGAGAGAGAGAGAAAATGAAGAGGTAAATCATAAAAGAAATGCCAATGTCCAGTAAGTTCAGGGGAAGACATTCAGCCTCACTGGTTAAAGGAAAACTTACTGTACAAAAATGAACTCAAATGGATGAAAAGCTGAAATGTGTGGGCTAAAACTGTACAAAATTTTAGAAGAGGAGCGCCTGGCTGGTTCAGTCAGTGAAGCGAGCGACTCTTGATCTTGGGGTCATGGGTTCAAGCCCCATGTTGGGTGTAGAGATTACTTGAAAACAAAATGTTAAAAAAAATTTTTTTAGAAGAAAACATAGGTGTAAATCTTCATGACCTAGGACTAGGTGATGATTTCTTTTTTTCTTTTATTTTTTTATTAATTTTAGTTTTTATTTATTTAAAATTTTTTTTATTCTTATGTTAATCCCCATACATTACATCATTAGTTTTAGATGTAGTGTTCCATGATTCATTGTTTGTGCATAACACCCAGTGCTCCATGCAGAATGTGCCCTCCTCAATACCCAGACTAGGTGATGATTTCTTAAATAAGACACCTTTAAGCACAAGCAGCAAAAGAAAAAAAAAAAGATAAATTGGACTTCATCAAAATTAAAAACCTTTGTACTTCCAAGAGACGCCATCAAGAAAGTAATGAGACAACTCATTAATTGGGAGAAAATTTTTTGCAAGTCGTATCTCTAGTAAGAGATTTGCATTTAGATTATATAAAGAACTAATAACAAAAAGACAATCCAGCGTAAAGGATCTGAAGAGATACTTCTCCAAGGAAGATGACAGATGGCCACCAAGCACATAAAAAAATGCTCAACATCATTAGCTGTCAGGGAAATGCAAATCGAAACCACAATGAGGTACCCACTGGGATGGTTATAATCAAAGGGCAGATGATCACGGTGTTAGTAAAGACGTGGAGAAACTAGAACCCTCATACCCTGCCAGTGGGATGGTAAAATGATGCAGCCACTTTGGAAAACAGCCTTGCAGTTTCTCACAAGGTTAAATAAACAGCTACATATGATCTGTCAATGATACTGCTAGGCATACACACTCAAGAAAAAATGAGAACATAGGACCACACAAAAATTTGCACATGGATGGTCATAGTCGCATTACTCATAATAGCCAATAGGTGAAAACAATTCAAATGTCCACTAAATGTGAGCAGACAGACCAGAAAGGGGTATATCCATAAAATGTAATATTATTTGACAAGAAAAAGGAACAAAAGTACTGACATGTGACACAACATGAATTAACCTTGAACACATTATGCCAAGTGAAAAAAAAAAATACAGTCACAAAAGACTATATAGTGTAGGACTCTACTTTATATGAAATGTTCAGAATAGGCAAATTTATAGAGACAGAAAGATTAGCGGTTGCCAGGTGCTGGAAAAGATAGGTTTGGAAGTGACAAGCAAGGAGTGGGAGGTTTCTTTTGCGGGTGAGGGGGGTGAGGAAAGGTTCTAAAATTGATTGTGCTGATGCATGCACAACTCTGTATACTAAATATATTAAAATACTTATATACTAAATATATATACTGAAATAGCATATACTAATATACTAAATATTGATACTAAATATAAGAAAAGCCCTTGACTTGTATATTTTAATGGGGCAAACTGTACGGTGAGTGAATTATATCTTAATAAAGCTGTTTTTTTAAATAAAGAAATGAAAATGTAAACAATAATTATGTTGCATGTCTACTAGGTCTCCACCTGAAAATAAACTTTCCAGGCAGGGGTCCTTTGTCCATCTTATGACCCCTGACCTCCCCAACAGCACTCACCAGGCCTAGTATAAAGACTAACACTAAGTCAGTGCTTAATAACAGAAAGATACTTCCCAGCCAAGTTGCTGCAGAATAACTTCTGAAGGGGAAAAAAGAGAGCTTGTTTCCAGTTTGACTTTTGTATTTGAGTTAGAGATGCTCTCCTATATTAAATCTCTCTCCACCCCAGACATGTACCAAGAATTTATTGAATACATTTATGTCTCCACTTGCTTCTAGAATACCTTCCTACTCAGTGCTTCTACCCTGACCATAGGAAACCATACTTAAAGATACCAGGGATCATTCCCCGACATTCCAGACTTCCATCCTCTTTCAGGTCTGGTTTCAGTGTCCATGCATAAGTTCAACCAGCAGGTGTCGCTGTCGAACCAAACTTCAAATACACTAGCTGCCAGCCGGTGGAGCATAATTCCCCCTTCTGCACAGTGTGGGCTAAGCATAAAGAGCAACTTCCTTCCAAACAGTACAGCATGGAACAGGAGAGAAAAATGAGTAACTGTGCAGTGGAGAAACCCGACAAGCATTATATCAAATAAGGTGGTCTAGGTTAACATCAACAGTGATAAATATTGTTGATAGTATGTACCTTTCGTATGATGTGGTGAGAATGGCACTTTTCCTCCCAAACATAGGACCCCAGTTTAATCAGGAGGAAAACATCAGACAAATCTCAACTGAGAGACAGTCTACAAAATGCCTGACGAGTACTCCTCAAAACTGTCAGTCATCGAAAACAAGGAAAGGCTGAGAAATCATCACAACCAGTAAGGAGACATGAAAGGTGACATCCTAGATGGGACCCTAGAACAGGAAAAGGACATGAGGAAACTGAGGAAATCTGAATAAAGGATTTTTAGTCAAATAATAAGGGGTCATATGAGAATTCACTGCACTATCTTCACAGTAATTCTGGAAATCTAAAGCTGTTCTCAAATAAAAAGTCTATTTAAAAAAAAAAAATTCACTAGCTGCCAATTTTGCTAAATTGCAATTCTAGTTTAAGGAACAGTTCCAACTGCTTAAAGATGAGTTTCTTCCCCCAAGAAAGAATGCAGTCCCAGTCCCATCATTTCTACCACGCCTTATTCAACCTCATCCAACCGCGGGAGAAAAGCACTGGAAGATGCACTCATAACATGAAGATTGGCAAGTGCTAAGAAGTTACTCAACCAAGGTTTTCTGAAAGATAAAGCCCCTCTAAAGAGTTTTATGGCCTAAATTGCACCAATGCCCCCAAAGCCCAAAGAAACATCTGGGGTCTAAATGGTTATTATTTCTACCGGGGAAAAAAAAAAGTCAAAAAAGCATTCAATATGTATGTTGGTTTAAGTAGTCTTTTAAATTTTATTTGCTCTAGTTTTTTTTTTAATGTGTAGATATGAGCAATAGATAAATATTACGCTGCTTCAATAAACGGAGGTAGGTGGCTTTTGTTTTTTTAAGTGAAAAACTGGGGTTGAGTGGGTTGTGTGCTAGATTCTTGTTCCCTGAATTACCCGTGTCTAAAGAAAGCCCAGCCGGCTGTAACCCAAGGCATTGTTCTTCACCTGGTGGCAGCCACCCAAACCTCAAGAATAGTGTCTAGAAGGGGGAAACAGATAGTCTTTAAAGAGGCAGCAAGTAAGAATTAGGACTCTCCATACCTCAAAAAAATTGTCATAATGCCAGTGAAAAACTACCCCCATGCCGCTCAAGAAACCAGCATGATGACAGCAAACCAGAAACCAACACCCCGAGGGTGAGATAGATTAGACAGTATCCACGAAAATGTTTTATGTGCGTTTGATGGGAAAACGTGGTATAAAATGTCAGGCAGAATCTGCCCCTAATGTAAAGGGTGAGAGTTGAGTGAACATCCTCAGGAAAGACGACGCAGGAAAAGAGAGGAACAAGCTATAATGACTTAGTACCTACGGGAATGAGATGAGTAGGCTGGGATTCCTCCAGTTTGTTCCTCAGCCAGTCAAAATCCTGGTACCTTCGACGAACAGAATATTCTGGCAGGTCAAACTCCACCCGCGTACTCTGCAAATAAGAATGGAACAAAATAAGCATAAGGGAAGAGTAGCATATCTTGGCAGAAAAGAAGGAAAAAAGCTCTGAGTAACCAAACGGGGCAAGAACACACTTTCTTTCCACCAAAACACCAGCCAAAAGGCATCAATTACCAACACCAAATGATGCGTCCAGGTCCCTAGGGCCCAGCTCAAAAGTCAAGGATCTCGAAAGGAAATGTTGGGGGGGGGGGGTTCCTACCCTTAGGAAATGGAATTCAACTACCCCTCAGGATGTGTTTAGAAACATTTGATTCATTTCCTCCAGGCTTAACTTTGAGGATTGCTTTTAGCGGAATAATTCCACAGAGGATATTGCTACTAAATCCCAATCCATGTTTCTTTTAAAAAAAATTACGTCTCCACCTTCTGCTACATATGCTGACAAATTTTACCAAAGGCAGAAGGGAGATGAACAAAAAGAGCTAAGAGAGCACCTGCTCATTTAGGAGTCAGATTGGATGAACACAGTAAAGGATTTGCCTCATCTGCCACATTCTGCCAGAACCATAAGCTTGGAACTATGTTGTATTTCAGGTGATAAGAAAAAAAATCTAGAAGGAAATAATGCCAAAATGTCATTGTGCTGCAGAAAAAATATTAATATCATCCCTTTTCTCCCCCCCCCCATTTTTTAAGCATTTAATGTTTTACATCAGTCATCCCTTTTCTTGAATTTAAGTTTTCTGAAATGTGATTGCAGCACTTTGATAATGAAAACCAATGTTAAATAAAATGAAATTAATTTATGCCAAAACAAGATTTTTACACATTAATTTGCCCAAACTAAAGTTGTGTCTCAGCTAAACCATTTTTCCCTATAAGGGTACAGACTACATGACAGTCATAGCTCTCGGAAATGAAAGGTCAAAATAAAAATGGTTCCAGCTACATTTTATAAAATTACTCTTTCAGGCCAAAAGTCCATTTTAATCCACGACACCAAGAAAATCTTAAAAACATATAAACATATGAGTCATCTATCAATGAAAAAGCTGTGAACATCTTTGGCATTGAAAATTACGATTTCATCCTCCCCAAAACCCGCGCTCACACAGTCCGAGCAAAATTTTGAAGTGAAAGGACTCGGTCTTGGACTGGACCTCAGTTAACTCTTCCTGCATCTCTTCTCCTTTTCAAAATCCCATGCAGAACCTTCCCCTATGATAGAGGGTATGAGTTGGAAGAGGTGAGGAAATTCATGCAACCTAAGTATTTGTGATTTATTAGAAGACTCCCCAAAGGAATTAGCATTATAGAATTGGGGGTGGGGGAGAATGCTTAAATTCAAAGAACAAATCACTGTTGATGAATTTTCATGTATAAGGGTGATGCCTCCTTCCGAGGCTGGTGAGGAGAAGCCTGGGCATGAGCAGTCCTAGCACCTACCAGATTCCTGAGACACTAAGCCTCCTGGAGCCTAGGTTTTCTCAACAGCAAGAAGAGGGTTGGAAGGGACATTCTTCAAAACCGCACAGAGCACCCCCAACGGGCTCTGAGGACCTGCCAATGATGATGTGCCCACAAAAGGGCAACTTGGATGTGTGACAAACGCAATTCATTTTCATTGTAAATGTACTGATGGAGGGCTCTAATTTTTGCCTTCCTAATGTTACATGGTATCAACTGATCACTTCTCTTTATTATGCTTTTGCAAATCCACTTCATAAATTATAGTTTAGGTAACATTTCTAACTTTGAAATCAGTATTTGGTAACTACAAAGAGCAGTATGACTAAACACAAGTTTTGTTTCTGCTGTAAACAACTTTACTTTGGGGGAACTGGCTTTTTTCCCCCTTCTACTTATTCAGGTGAAACATACTTACTTTAAAACTTCAGCAAAGGGGCGCCTGGGTGGCTCAGTTGGTTAAGAGTCTGACTCATGGTTTCAACTCCAGTCATGATCTCAGGGTCGTGGGATCGAGCTCTGCGTGGGGCTCCACGCTTGGTGCAGAGTCTGCTTGGGATTCTCTCTCTTTCTCTCTGCCCCTCCCCTAACTAGCACATGCATGCACACTCTGTCTCTGTCTCTCTCAAATAAATAATTTTTTTTAAACTTCAGGAAAAATAAAGATCAGTCATAATCCCTCTAAATAGAGAAAAAACACTATAAATATTATGGTTATATCTTTCCATATTTTTTCTATGCATATCCATTCACTCACTCATATTTTCTAAATCTCTAACAGCTCTTAAGTATCTTTCTGTCAGTAATTCAAATCTACATGATTATTTTTAACACATAAAAAATATTCCACTGGGGCGCCTGGGTGGCTCAGTTGGTTAAGCGACTGCCTTCGGCTCAGGTCATGATCCTGGAGTCCCTGGATCGAGTCCCGCATCGGGCTCCCTGCTCGGCAGGGAGCCTGCTTCTCCCTCTGACCCTCCCCCCTCTCATGTCTCTCTCTCTCTCATTCTCTCTGTCTCAAATAAATTAAAAAAAAAAAAAAATTCCACTGGATGGATATATAACAACAAAACCAAATCCTCACTTAAGTTGTTGCCAATCTTTCAATCAATAAACAATGCTGTAGTAAACACCATCGGGTATCTGTTTGATAAAACTCAAATTCCTAAAGACTGAATTACTGGATAAAAGAGTGTGTGTGGTGTATTTTTTTTTTTTTTTACAAAATGTTTGATCTTTATAATTTATTAGTGGTTTTCTTTTCTTCTTTTTGAGAAAGAGAGCGTGCACACACATGAGTTGGGGGGGTGGTAACAACGTGGGAGAGGGAGAGAGAGAATCCCAAGCAGGCTCCATGCCCAGCACAGAGCCAAACAGGTGGGGGTTCCATCCCACAATGCTGAGATCACGACCTGAGCTGAAATCAAGAGTAGACGCTTAACTGACTGAGCCACCCAGGTGCTCAAGGGTACATGTATTTTTAATTAACAGCCTGCTTCTAGAAATATATCAACTTATATTCTTATCACATATTCTCATCACCAGTGGTTATCTTTGATGGACTTATAATTAAAAAATAATACATCATCTTTGTTTCTTTAATGACTACTGGGGTTGAACATTCTTTGAAATATTTGTTAGCTACAGATTTTTCTTTTGTGAGAAGTCTCTTTTTTAAATTGTCTTTTCATTGTCTTTAAAAGTCTGTTTCATTTGTGGAAATTCTTTATAGCCATTTATCTATCATAATTTCCAAAGGGTTTCCCAGGTATATATTTTTTTAATTCAGCCATTTTTTTTCCCTTTATATTTTTGGGTGTCATGGATAAGAAGGCTGTCCCCATTGCAAGCTTTTAAAAATATTCACCTGTGTTCCCTCCTTTATTTATTATTTATTTATTTACATCTTTAATTACTGCTATTCTACTTCTAGAGATCTGCCATTAGAAAATACTTTTTAAACTGTGGCAAAGATATCTGTATAATGATGTTCACCGCAATACTATGTAAAATAGCAAAGGAATCAAAGCAATCTAAATGTTCAACAATAAAAACAGGTAAATTATGGTATTTTTATTCTATGGCTTATTGGTAATTGTGTCATAAGACATCTTTTTTTTTTTTTTAGGATTTTTATTTATTTATTTATTTGACAGAGAGAGAGAGAGAGAGCACACGAGCACAAGCAGGGGGAGCAGCAGGCAGAGGGAGAAGCAGGCTCCCCGCTGAGCAAGGGCTCAATCCCAGAACCCTGGGATTATGAACTGAGCTGAAAGCAGACACTCAACCGACTGAGCCACGCAGGCACCCCACAAGACATCTCTAATAACAAATATGCTTTAATATACTTTTAAGAGAAAACAGAAAGATTTAAAATTAATTGCACATACATTATGATTTCATTAGTGTTAAAAATGTGGATATAAAAGGTTAGGAAAAATCTAGAACTCATAATGACAACTGTCCTCTTTATACTCATCCTTATTTTAAAATGTTCTACAATTCTCATATGATACTTTCATAGTCACACCAAAAAACTGTTTATTTTTTAAAAGCTCCTTTACGGACATAATGGATTAAATAAAAATTTGTTCGATGCTTTGGAAAGCAATGAGGTAAAAAAAAAATCATCATGAAGCAGAAGGATGCTCACACTCTTTGACCCAATATTTGTTTTACTTACTTTCACCACAATTTGTTCTAGAAAAGATACAGAGCTACATGAAATAATATTAAATGACATAAATTAGAAGTAGGTGAGAAAGATCAAGAAAAAACAAGGACAGAGAGAGAAAGTAGAGCCAGGAACGAGGCTAGCAAAAGACACTCACCATAGAATTCTGCACACTTGCTAAAACTGGGCCACAGACATTACTGTGAATTTCTGGAGAGAAACCCAGTCAGTTATAAGACTCAACAGTACTCATAAAATATGCAGGCCAATAAAACTCCAACTATGACTCTGTAGTAAATTTTTCCTCTGTGAAATTCAGGGTCTAACTGAGTAAGGAAAATAAAGCAAAGCTCTATTTTCTAATAACAATAAGAAGAGAAAAGTGCACACCCACAATTCCATAATCAGAGACAACCACTACACTGTTTTGTTCTGGGTCCTTCCACACCATGATCCATAATCCAGAATGCCCCACAAGATCACAAGGTCATGGGGACACACCTAAAGCCAGATCTACAAATAGGTAACTGAGCACAAGAGCTGTAATGAAGAATATTCATTTTTGCCATCACTCCATATGAATATCTCCAGGCACCCCTGCCAATTTAAAAAAAAAAATTTTTTTTTAATTTTTATTCTTTGGGTAAATTCAACACTTTAGAAGACCTAGCACAGAGCCACAGGGCAATCAATCAGCCAGCAGAGCACCTGTCCATTGGGCCTCACCTTAACCACAGAAGAACTCTTATTCCCCAGGAGCTGATGTGCCTAATTACTGTGGCCTGGAGCCCTTCCAAAGAATTTCCATTCAATCTAAAATTTACAACCAGTCCACTCTAGAGAGATTTGGTCTTCATCAGAAGTGCCATCTGTCCAGGCCACAACCG